CTGCGCGTGAGGAGCCTGGAGGTGCTGCATCTGGGGGTACTGCGTCTGGAGGTGCTGCGTCTGGGGGTGCTGAGCCTGTGTGTGCGGAGCCTGGGGGTGCTAAGTCTGGGGGTGAGTCGCCTGAGGGTTCTGGGACTGCTGTTACGCGGTCTCCTTGGAGTAGCCGTCTTCGTCCGCGTGTGCCCCTCACCTCCCAGCAGCTGCACGACTGGTACGGTCGCCGTCAGCGTCCCACTTCTGCACCTCAGGGCTCTCCTGCTGGAGGTTCTTCTGCTGGTGTAGCTGGTCCCAGAGGTGCTCGTACTGGGGGTACTGGAGCTGCTGGGGCCGGTGCTGGAGCTGCTCAGGGTAAAAGAGCTGCTGGAGGTGCTGGAGCTGCTGGAGGTGCTGGAGCTGCTGGAGGTGCTGGAGCTGTTGGAGGTGTTGGAGCTGCTGGGGGTGCTGGAGCTGCTGGAGGTGCTGGAGCTGCTGGAGGGGCTGGTGCTGCTCGTGCTGGTGGCGCTGCTCAGCCGCGCCTGTTCTTCGCTCCGCCGTCTCCGTCGTCTCAGCCACCACCTGACTCTGCACTTCGCCAGGTTCTCAGTCTTCCCTCGTCTACTGGTCTTCCGTTACAGCCTGGCTCACCGCTGCCTGCTCCTTCTCCGTACGCAGAGCAGCCTGGTGGCCTTGCAGAGCGTCGTGAGCCTGCGTCGCGTCCTGTCTCCCCTGTCAGTTCCGGTCGTCGTGTTCCTAGTCAGAGCCAGCCGGCTGTCTCCGGCCCTCCCCTTGTAGTTCGTCGTACTTCCTCTCCTTCGCCGCGTGTTCCTCTGCCGCCTCCCCCTGCGTCCTCTCTGCCTGTCGTTGCTGACCCTGCGTCTGACCGGTTTCGTGCTGAGCACTCTACTGTCACGCGTCTGCTTGCCACTGTTGTCACTGACCCGTCGTTTGAGTCTGCTGCTGCGTCTGCCTTAGTCACTGAGCTTGTTGCCTTTGCTGCTCACTGTCGTCTAGACTACGCCGCTAGTCTTGTTGCTGAGTCTGAGTCTGTCTGTCCTCCGTCCGTCGGGGGTGAGTGTGCTCTTGGCACGGACGTCCTTGAGGACAGGCAGGAGGACCTTGAGTGTCTTGCAGCCGCTGCGCCTCATCTCGTATCCATGCTGCTTGCCCCTGAGGGAGACCCGGATGCACCAGACATCCCTACCCCGCGCTCTTACGCTGAGGCGATCGCGGGTGAGTACTCCTCTCAGTGGCAGACAGCCATGGACGCAGAGATGGCATCCTGGAAGTCCACATGCACCTACGTCGACGACGTTCCTCCTCCTGGGGCGAACATTGTCAGTGGCATGTGGATTTTCAGGGTGAAGCGGCCGCCAGGTTCTCCGCCTGTCTTCAAGGCTCGTTACGTGGCTCGAGGCTTCAGTCAGCGAGAGGGAGTTGACTTCTTCCAGACCTTCTCCCCCACCCCGAAGATGACCACTCTTCGGGTGCTGCTGCACGTTGCCGCTCAGCGTGACTACGAGCTTCACTCTCTTGACTTCAGCACAGCCTTCTTACAGGGCAGCCTGCACGAGGAGATTTGGCTGCGCGGCCCTCGTGGATTCACTGGGTCGTTCCCTCCTGGTACCCAGTGGAGCCTCCGGCGGCCGGTCTACGGTCTCCGCCAGGCGCCACGTGAGTGGCACGACACACTGAGGACGACACTTGCGGCTCTTGGGTTTGCTCTGTCGACTGCTGACCCGTCGCTGTTTTTGCGCACCGCTGCAGAAGAGACACACGTGCACAGACCTGGGTGAACTGCGCAGCTACCTTGGCTTGCAGATCACCCGGGACAGAGCACGCCGCACCATCACACTGACTCAGTCACACATGGTGCAGCAGGTTCTTCAGCGCTTCGGTTTCACCTGGTCCTCAGCACAGGCCACTCCTCTGGCTACAGGTCACTCGCTCTCAGCTCCACCTTCGGACGAGTCCGTAGAGCCGAGTGGTCCTTACCCAGAGTTAGTGGGCTGCCTCATGTACCTGATGACTTGCACTCGTCCTGACCTTGCGTACCCTCTTGGCCTTCTGGCTCGCTACGTGGCTCCTGGTCAGCACCGAAAGGTGCACATGGATGCTGCCAAGAGGGTACTACGCTACTTGTGCAGTACATCGGGCATGGGGCTCGTGCTTGGAGGACGGGGTGACGTTGTCCTCACTGGTCACTCGGACGCCTCTTGGGTTGACGACCAGGCTACGCAGTGGTCGTCACAGGGTTATACCTTCAGCCTTGGTTCTGGTTCAGTTTCCTGGCGTTCTACACGTTCGTCTTCAGTTCTCGGCTCCAGCTGTGAGGCAGAGATCTACGCCACAGCCATGGCTGCACAGGAGCTGCGCTGGCTCACCTACCTGCTGACCGACTTGGGAGAGCGGCCTCGTTCTCCTCCAGTTCTGTACGTCGACAACAAGGCCGCCATTGCCTTGTGTCAGGAGCACAGACTGGAGCACAGAACAAAGCACATCGCTCTCCGTTACTTCCTTGCTCGAGAGCTGCAGCAGCGTGGCCAGCTTCGTCTTACCTACGTGGCCACTCGGGCCAACACTGCTGATATATTCACCAATGCGCTTCCGCCTGGTGATCATCAGCGTTTCTGCACTTTGTTAGGCCTTGTGCCCACGCTTCCTCACTTGCTGTAGGCTTTGTTTGTACCATGATTTATATGTATACCTGCATACTTGCTCTTGTAGGTAGATATCACTGTACTGTTGTTGTTCCATATATATCTCTGCATGTGAACTGGCCTTGTGGCCTTCTTGCTTGTGCTCAGACTGCGTGGTGACGTTGTGATCCACCCTGAGCTTGCTTTGCACTTCCTGCCTGGCCTTGTGACCCTCTGTTCTCCCCCACTTTGCCTATGGGGGTGTGTCAAACATATGTGTATATGTTGTTATTTAGATAGACTTTAGTGGGGTACTCACTGTGGGGTACAACCCCTTAGGTTTCATTCTTGTACCAAACTCTCGACATTCCAATACAACTCTTTGCCTAGGATTCTAACACTTCCACGCGGAGTAGTTTTGTCCCGTGAAAATCGGTACCGCCGACGTGTCGAACATCGTCGCGGTTGCCCAGGGTTCGCCGGAATTTACAACGACACCATCCAAGGAAGTGCGGGAGGCCTCGCTTGACGTCGGCATGCTAGCTTCTTGTTGCGCGCGTAGACTCCTCCGACCAGCTCTGATACCACTGTTGTAGATGACTCTCCTCTAGTTGTCAGGAACTAGGATTTAAACTACACAATAGAGCACCCTATTAACTTTCCAACGAGCCGTAGATCACCTCGATCGCCTAAGTATCGAGCGAGTTATGGCCTTTAACGTGAAAGCTATGTTATAGGTTGAAGGATAGGATGCTCTATGGAATTTGTGTCGAGTTGAACCATGTATAGGAAACTCTGATTTTCAGTATGAAACATGCAAACAAGGCGAGCATATTTATAGCTACTCAATACATCGAGTCGCGCATGTAACATCTAGTCACTACGAGATGTGTCGCGAACATTCGTGTAGCATTTCAAACGGGGTGAAATTCAGTACTCGAATTTCACCGAATGCTCCTTAAATCTCGAATGTTCCTGATGCTGCCATGTGGCACCGAATTGGTGGAGTCTTCCGAAGTCAAACTTCAACCCCACGCAAACCTGCAGCTCACTCGAAGGTGAGCACCAAAAACAACACCGCTTTGTGGTTGGGGCAAAAACCGCCCCACGCAACCTCCAACACAAAGTATGAGCGAAGTGCTTGCGATTGTGCTTGCTGTGCTCGTGCGACGTCATTTTGCAAGGACGTGCGTTCTGCCGTCAGCGCCGCGATTTCTTCAGAGCTTTCGCGGAGTTGCTACAGCAGTTCGTTCAGACGGTCCTGCGTGAGTGTGGTGACGTCGATGTGTTCAGCCATGTCGAAGGGCGTCGGCTCAGCTTAGTCTAGGCGTAGTCGTGGCTGCACGCGTTGACGAAAGAACGTGAGGACAGCGGCTCCTAGGTGCTAAGGGGTGTGAGTCCCTTCGAGTGAAAAATCAAAAGGTTATTTCCTGGGGTGCAGAGATGCGCGGTCTGAAAGGAAAGAGGCTATGAATACCAAGTGTTACGGGTGCAATGAATCGAGGTAGCGAGGATTGCACTCGAGTGTTCAACGAGTACAAAGTGTGAGCGAATACTTATGTGCGAGAACATGCAACGATTACGCGGTGAGTGCGAGCTAGCTAGTGCTACGCTGGCAGGGAGGTTCGGGCTAGTCCCGAAGCGTAGGCCGACTCGGCTGGGCCAGCGATGCAAGGTTTGGTGACACAGTGCGTGCGAAGTTGGTGAACAACGGCTGCTGCTGTACGCAATGTTGATGGTCGCGATAAGGAATGTCGAGAAAAATCCTTACAATCGGTCAAAAGGAAGTCCTCAGCTGTGTAAAACAAAACGAACTGACTGAATACACTAATGATGCAAGAGAAGGTTGGATGAGAGCACAAAATACTAATCATACTACACTGAAGAAATAAGGTGGAAACGAATAATAAAATCGGCCATTTTTCAATGCCCAGAAGGAAGCTGGCATGAGTGATAGTATCAGCACCACTCATGTATGTACATACGTATGCCTAATGAACAGTTCCTCGAAATTAAAAATCTGGGGCACAATCATTGGATGGCTTTGGAAGCACATGTGATTGACACACAAGCCTCAAGAGGTCCTTCAACTTGGACGCATTCAACTGCACAAAAAAAAAGAGCAATGGCTTTAAACCCCCTCAAGCATACGTAACAGTCCAAGATGTAGCAGCAGAGCAAGGAAAAGCTTACAGGTTTGCTCATGTACGAGTCCATCCCTGCCTCTATGCACTTCACTCCGTCTCCTATAAGGGCTTGCGCTGTCATCTGCAGGAAAAGGAGCAGCTGTCAGATGAATTGAAAAACGCTGTCCTTTTGTCAAAACAAAATTGTACGAGCATTACAGCAATGATGGGAGTGTGGCGATTTGTCGTAGACTCGTATTCACGAATCCTCCTGGTTGCTTGTAGGCCATCGCAGACAGGCATTTGCACCTGATATTGCACATGGGAGAAGGGGAAGGTGAATAGAGCGTAGGACAGGCAGGGAGGTGAAACCGAAATTTGTACGACAGTTGCATTCACGGAGAAAAGGGGCAGCATGTAGCTGGTACACGAACCACACACACGGTGAAGGAGCAGAAATGCTGCTGCCATACTCACATCCATTAGTATCACATCAAACACTCCTGTCTGAACCTTCTCCAGGGCTTCTTCACCATCACTGGCCAGAACCGCCTCATGCCCCCACTTGCGCAGCAGGGTCATGGCTACCCGCTGGTTGACAATGTTGTCTTCTGCAACCAGGACCTTGAGACTCCTCTCAGCCGCTGCTGATGCCGATGCCTCCTCTGAAGCACTTGAATTTGAGGCATAGAGCCCGTCCTGACAAAACAAAGAAAGGAAAGATCAGCATGGGGCGAAGAATGAAAGAGAGGGTATGTGCAGACGTTCAATGGCAGGTCCATTCAGCAGCATGCAGAGTAGGTACAATTGTAGAATGCTTGAGGGAAGAGTTGGAGCAAGGGAGATCACCTGCAGGGGGAGCTTCAAGGCCTGCTTGACTCTTCGCAGAAGCACTTTCCTCTTCACAGGCTTGGGTAGATAGAGTTGCACCCCGAGTTCCTTACACCTGTTGAGCAGCATTCCAAGAAAGCAAGAAACAACCTTACTTAGAAAGGCGGCTTGCGGAGTGGAGTGACTGCCACACATTTATGTGTTGTCCGAATGCCAGCACTTACAAGAGCTTGTCGTCAGGACCTCCTGGTGTCAGCAACACCACAGGCAGCGCCAAGTCCTCTTCGCAAGACTTGGGTCGACACCCGTCAGCAGCAGAGCAGGAAGCCTGTGCCCGGCCGCATCTCTGCAGCTGCATCACTCCTCCACTGTCAGCTGTGGCTGTTTGTGAATCCACCCTTTGAGCTGACTGCAGCTCATCCGGACCAGAACTCTCACCCAGTCTTTTTGCTGGGGCATTTCCACCTGTTCCTGAAGAGAGCACACTGGCATCAGGCTCTTCTTCTATTGCTGCTGCCCTTTCCTGCTCCCCAGAGAACAGCCAAGCAGGCACAGGGGACTCGGAGCGCCCAGTGAAATCCTCCATCTCTTGCACAGCACCGCTACTACTGCAGTTTCCTTCTGAAATTCGGCATCCGGTGTTGTCCTGATGGAGCAGATTCTGCTCCTTGATGCGGCGCAGCAGCTTCGCACAGTTGGCGGAGGAGACAGCACAGTTATCGTAGGAGGAGGAGCAGGAGGGGGAGGATGAGGAGGAGGAAACATGGTGGGTGTCCCTGACTTCAGAGTCGAGAATGAGGAGAGTGTATGGCGACTCGTCATATGCTGCCTTTTGGAGCATTTCCAGAGCGGAGGTTGCATCAGCTGCATCGTCTGCCTTGAGTTTCAGCTTCTGAAAGAAAAAAAAAGGAAAAACAAACACCTGGTATCAGTATCACCTCCCTTGTGCCAGCAGAATCAAAACAAAAGATAGCTCAACAAACAATGGCTCCCACCTCAAGAGTCGAAAGGATGGACTTCCTGGTTGATTCATTCCCATCCACAACAAGCCCGCGGAAGTGGTTCATCTTCGGACACAGAGTGCCACACTGAGCCAATAATGACGGTTTTGCAGGCTCAGGTGGTACAGTGAACTTGGCCGTGAAACAGAAGGTTGACCCGCAACCCTCTTCACTCTCAACCCACATGTGGCCACCCATTGCATTAGCCAGGCGAGATGAGATCATCAATCCCAGTCCCGTCCCTCCATACAGCCTGAAACACAAACTGCAAACATTAACGACTTATCTCTTCACTAAAAAACAAATGAAGGGAATAACGGAAGTCACGTCTTACCGTGAATCTGATGCATGCACTTGACTGAACGCTTGAAACAAAAGACACTGCTTGGCTTGAGGTATGCCAATTCCTGGTAGAAACGAGAACGAAAGTTATGATGCAACGTGACATTCAACACATATTCGCATAAAACGAAAGCATTTTTACTACTAACCTGTGTCTTTAACAGCAAAAAGAACCTCTGCGGTCTGATCCTTGAGGGCAACAAGTGTCGCAGTTAGCAAAACCTCCCCCTTCTCAGTAAACTTGATCCCATTACCTGTAACAGAGAGCATCATGCAATAAATTTCAGGACCTGTATGTTCAAAAGTAGCATACATAAAATGTAGGTGGGCACTGTACTGAAACCTACCCAAAAGGTTGATGAAGATCTGAAGAAGGCGTCCAGGGTCACCCATGAAATTTTCTGGCATGTTCGGAGACCTCAGCCATGATACGAGTGCAAGGCCCTTCTTCCTTGCCCGATTCGCCAGAACAGATACAGCATGTTCCATCTGGAGGAAAATCGGTTGAATGAGCTATTATTGAGAAACAAAACATCAACACATACAAAATCGGGTGGTTACAAAAGCAGCAAGTTATTACCTGGTCCTGTAATGAGAACTCGATGTTCTCCAGGTCCATTTTCCCTGCTTCGATTTTGCTGAAGTCCAAAATGTCAGCAATTAAGCGCAAAAGATGCTTGGCTGAGTACAAGGACTGCACATAGGAATCATAATCAATACACCAGTCAGCCATGACTCGAAGCGCGAAAGAAGACATACGAAATATTTTATATGTTTTGCAGCCAAAATGCACAGCAAACTTACGAGCTCAAGATACTCGATCTTCTCAGAGCTGAGAGCAGTGTCCAAGCAAAGCTCAGTGCAGTTGATGATGCCATTCAACGGTGTTCTGATCTCATGAGACATGTTTGCCAGAAACTCTGATTTCGCCTTGTCAGCTGAAACTGCCTGCTCCTTGGCATCCTGAAGCTGTAGCTCAACACTCTTCCTCTCTTCCACCTCAGCGGAAAGACCCTGATTCAGAAGTGCCAGGTCTTGCGTGCGTTCCACCACCTGAAAATCAATACAGAGCTCCATATTTGTCAATGCAAAGCACATTTTTTGTACCCTAAAAAAAAGGGGAAAAACAGTGGGAGAAAGGATGACCAGATGTAGAGCGACACACCTTTTGTTCCAAAGTAGTGTAAGAGCTGGAGATCTGATCAGCCATGTCATTGAACACACAGCAGAGCTCATCAATCTCGTCCTTCAAGCAGCCTCGTCGCCCATGTGCTCTTGCACTGTAATCACCCCGTGCCAGTTTGCTCGCTGCATCGCCAAGCTCCATGATCGGACGGGAGAAATACTGCACAGCAATGTCTCACATTATAAGTAAGAACACTGCCTTGCAGCGAACATACGAATTTCGAGAGAAGATGAAGACGAATAACAAAGATGTCGTACCGTGGCTAAGGCATAGGCTGCGAGGATCCCCAGCACAAAGATGAAGGACATTGAAATGATAATGATCTTCTCGAACTTTCTTATAGAGTTGTATACTTCTCCTTTGTCAATTGTAGCTGCCAGACCTGCAATGACGCAGATAGCTTATAAGTTTGAAAATCATGTTCAAGAATGGGCAAAGAAACTTTACTCACGGAGAGCAGAACAGGCAAGAAATGCAAGACATACCCCAGGAGTCATAGCCAATGGGCCGGTAGGAAGCAACGACCTCGATACCACGAAAGTCAACCCCTTGGTAATATCCAGTCTGCCCCCTCCCTGCTCTGAAGGCAGCACCATTGAAAGTCGAGTTTTTCACTGATGGATCCTTGATCGGAGGAACTATAAACTTCGCCACGTCCTCGCCATCATTGACATATGCAACAAGAAGCTCTCCAGTGGACTGAAGACCCGTCCCATCATGCACAGTTCGCTTGAAATTCTCAGCATCAACTTTAGCCAGAATAATTCCACAAAAGGTGTCCTGAAAGACAAAGAACGTCAGAAGAGAAGGATAAAAGCATTTCTTCTTTTTGAAACAGGTGATTTAATGGACCTACCAGACCAGCTAAATGAGATTGCATACCTGATAGTCAACAGAAGCTGTAATGTCAATCAGGAATGTATTATTCTGTCCTGCATAGGGAATCCCAGACCACACTGACGTGTTCCGATACTGCACAATCAGTGCTCGCCCGTGCAAACGTTTTGGCAGCGGCTCCACATCAGTTGGCTGCTTGCTGGAAAACAAAAGTTCACCCTCGACGCTGTAGGCTCCTAACGCCATGACATTAGCTGCACTCATGACAGCAGAATCCAGATTCTCTGTGCCCATCTTGTAGTCATTTTTCGTCAAATTGGACTTCCTTTGCTTGTGCATGAGCATCAGGGATGAAATGACAACGCGAGACGCAATCAGCTTCACCGTATCTTGAGTTCCGATGATGTAGGAGAGTATCTGAAACAGAAAGAAGATACATATCGAAACATAACCATCAGAGTAATTACAAATTATAACCGAATTGACCAATATAGCAGCTGATACAGCGGCCAAAATAGCCAGACTTAGGGTTATACCTGCTCTTGACGAAGGCTTGCGACAGTTTCAAGTCTCTCTCGAATCTCTCCAGTCAAGGTTGTTTTCGACAGCCTCCAAAGAACGACGGCCAAAACACCCGAGCAGATCAGCACCAGAGCCCCAACGAAAAACGTCAGCTTCACCCAGATCCGTGGTTGAAACCTTCGCCTTGTAACCAGCCGACGTGGGCTTTGAGCCAGGCCATCTCCTGAAAGAATAAGACGACACATCAGGTGAAAATCGGCGATCATCACTATGGAGTTGAAACATAAACAGCAATAGGCTGATGGTACTGACTCTCTTGGATCTCGAGAGACGTGAAATCTTTAGGATGCATGGTTGAAGGTCAAAAGCTATGGTAGTAATGGGTTTTCTCAAGAATCAATCCTTCGGCTAGCTTCGCAGGAACAGACTACTCGTGGTGGAGACGTTCCAGGCACAGAGATAGTAAAGAGCAGGCTTGCTATGACTCTAAGTCGCAGGTGCCTAAGAAGTAGCTGACATGGAAACGAGATCTTTCTAAATTCGCTGGAAACACGAAAATGAAGCTCGCACCTCGTGACTGAAGGTATTTCGGAGAGGAAAATCAGAACAAGAAGCTCGCGTGGTGCACAGGCCATCATCACTGGCGCCATCATCCATCCTATGCTCTCCAATTTCACCGTGAATGCCACGTAAGCAAGAAAACAGGAAGCTTCTTTTTCCAGGCTGGAAGTTTAATCGAAGAACCCAGCCAGCGGCGTTGGAGGGTAAGTCGGAAACAGAGGCGGCGGCGGATTCTGCATCCCATCGACTGCCATTTCTCATAACAGTCAAGGATATGAACGGTAGAGTGACGACTTTCATGACTGGGAATGTCATGCAGATTCTGAACGAATGGACCTCGAGAATGTAGAGCACAATGAAGAAGCAAGGAGATTGCGAGGTGGTAAAACACGGTCTGCTATCTCGCTGATGAGAAGTAGTCGCGGGGTGGCGAGCTGGTAAGAAGTGGGTGGCAATCACGAGCCAGGATACCTGCATTTCCGACTCCTTGCAAATGAAACGACAGCCTCTCATAATTCCGGTGACCTAATCCTTGCAAAGCAGATTCAGGCTGCACAGTGGACGCAGATTTGGATACATGTTTCTGAGTTCCAGATCACCTGCCACCGATTCTTCTCACTCTCTGACTTGGCGCGCTGCTCAGTGCTTGCTGATTTGAATACGTGTTTCTATATGTGACTACTAAACTGATCAGAGCTGTTCAGTGCTGAGCTATGAAAATGCGCATGCAGAGCTTTGTTGGGCTTCAAGAGAATTCTCAACCATTTCCGATATCGAAGAGTCAGCTTTTGGCCTCAGTTCATAAGGCTCGCAACCTCCCAAGAGACATCCTCGTTTTCGGTGAATGCGACGCAGTGTTCACAGGAGTGAGATGGTGCACGGTGGTTTGCGAGAATCGCTTCGGCGTTGATCGTTTTATTCGAGGCTAAACATGCTACAACACCCAACACCTGTTAACTTTGAATACCAGCAAGAGCCTAAACACATCTTTGCTTCGTCATGCTCTATAAATTCGCTTCCAAGGCCAGTGACATATCCCGCACCATGAACAATCATTGCTTGCTCAGTCCATGTGACATTAAAAAAGCCTATGACCATACATTGTGTTGGGCTGAGAAGTAGCCCTTAGGATCTTTTCAAGGCTAAGATCTCTTGAGTAGGAATGTTGTAGTTAGCGGAAGCGTAATATCAGAGTTGCTGAACCACCTTGTACTGGTGTGTGAGAACAATATAAGTTGTTAATAGCAGAGAGATACAAAGCTTTTATATGATTACAAAGGAATATTAAAGGTTCTTCTTCAACTGTTTTTGCTGTTGCGGTTCGATACAGTGACGACTCGGGTAACTGCTCAGTATCGAGTCTGTTATGTGTCCTTGCTGTCGCACTGTTTCTTTTCATTGAGTCAAAGGTCAGCGACCTTTGACCTTCGCGTAACCTCCAGCTGTTACGGTTGTTGACTCGCGTGTTGTTTCGCTGTAGTCCGCTCCGTTTCGTGTCGATACTTCGATTACTTCAGAAGCGTTAAATTACATGTTTCCAATTCCAACACTCCCCTTCGCTTCTTGAGTGTCGCTGCTGATGTCCTTGTCCAGTCAGCAGCATGCAGTACTCGAACTTCTGTTTTCCGAGTTTCTTGGTCAAGTAATCGGCTGCCATCTCGGATGTGGGACAGTACGATAGCTCGAGTCTTCCCTTCTCGATTTCGTCTTTTACGAAGAAGTACCGGAGGGCGATGTGCTTCGTTCGATTTGCGAACCCATTTTTGTTTGCTATGCAAATGGCCGATTGGTTGTTGCAGAAGAGAGAGAAGCTGGGTAACTGAGCCAATTTTTCTTCCTCCAGCAATTCGCGAAGATATAGCCATTCCTTGGTGGCTGAGCAGAGTGCGATATATTCTGCTTCTGCTGAGGAGAGAGCGATTAGCTCTTGCTTGTTGAGATAGGGTCGATAGGTTCGAGTCTGTAGATGTAGCCAGTTCGAGATCGTCTGTTGTCGGAGTCTCCAGCGTGATCGGCGTCGACGTAGCCGATTAACTTAGGTGTCGTAGTTCCGGTCTTGTGGTAGGTTAGTCCGATCGTCGGGGTACTGACGAGATAGTGAAGTGCACGGTCGAGTTCCTGCATGTGTTCTGCTTCAGGCTTCTTAAGGTAGGTGGCGAGTTGACTAGCTGAGTAGGATAGATCCGGTCGGCAGGTAACGACTGCGAAGAGTAGACAGCCTAACTTTCGTTGGTAGTCACGAATGCCGGCGGATTTGAGTAGGGCAGAGATTTTTCGATTTCCGTCGGTGTAGCGGTATGGCGTGGTGATGGTAGTTGGAGTAAGTCTGAATCGTTTAGCGATAGTGTCCGTGTATTTTTCGGCGCTGAGGTAGATTGCGTTGTCGCCGTCTTGTATGTTGAGTCCCAGGTACTGTGTCACGGTAGTCACGACGGTGAGTGTGAGATCCCGCTGCAGCTCCCCTTCAAAACAGATCGTTATTGTCAAACATATGTGTATATTTGTTATAGTTTGGTTAGGCTTAGTGGGGTACTCACTGTGGGGTACAACCCCTTAGGTTTCTCCTTTGTATCTTTCCCTTTCCATAGTCGACACACAACTTTCCCGTAAGATTCTAACATGGTATTAAGAGCTAGAACGTTCCTAGCCTAGGACGAATTTTTTTTAGGGCCCACCGTTAAACCTTCCGTGTTCCTGTCCGAATCTCGTTCTCTGCTTTTTTCTGCCCGAAATGCGCCCTTAGGTGCATCGATTTTCGCTGCCCCGCGGCCCTGCCCTGTCCTGTCGCGCGTAGCCAGCGAGCAGCCCGTACAACCCCCGTCTGGCCTTCGCGCCGCCCGTACAGCCCGCACCACGCCCGCGCGCGGCCCGTATAGCCTACGTTAGGCCCGCGCGCGGCCCGTACAGTCAGCGCTAGGCGTTAGCGCAGCCCGTACAGGCCGAGTCAGGCCCGAGAGCGGCCCGTACAGTCCGCGCTAGGCATTCGCGCAGCCCGTACAGGCCACGTCAGGCCCGCACGCGGCCAGTACAGCCCACGCCAGACCTACACGCTGCACTGCGCCTGTGTTGCTGCTTCTACTTGCTGCCGCTGCTGCTACTTGCTGCAGCCGCCCCTGCAGCAGCCGCCCCTGGCCCCTGGAGCAGCCGCCACTGCAGCAGCCGCCCCTTGCCCCTGGACCAGCCGCCCCTACAGCAGCCGCCTCTGGCCCCTGGAGCAGCCGCCCCTGCAGCAGCCGCCCCTGCCCCCCCCCCCCCCCCCCCCCCCCCCTTTAAAGCAGCCGCCCCTGGTCCAGCCGCCCCTGAACCCAGAGCAGCCGCCCCTGGACCCAGAGCAGCCGCCCCTGGCCCCTGCAGCAGCCGCCTCTTGAGCAGCCGCCCCTGGACTCTCGAGCAGCCGCCCCTGTACCCAGAGCAGCCGCCCCTGGCCCCTGCAGCAGCCGCCCCTGGAGCAGCCGCCCCTGGACCCAGAGCAGCCGCCCCTGGCCCCTGCAGCAGCCGCCCCTCGAGCAGCCGCCCCTGGACCCAGAGCAGCCGCCCCTGGCCCCTGAAGCAGCCGCCCCTGGTGCAGCCGCCCCTGGACCCTCGAGCAGCCGCCCCTGGACCCAGAGCAGCCGCCCCTGGCCCCTGCAGCAGCCGCCCCTGGAGCAGCCGCCCCTGGACCCAGAGCAGCCGCCCCTGGCCCCTGCAGCAGCCGCCCCTCGAGCAGCCGCCCCTGGACCCTCGAGCAGCCGCCCCTGGACCCAGAGCAGCCGCCCCTGGACCCTGCAGCAGCCGCCCCTGGAGCAGCCGCCCCTGGACCCAGAGCAGCCGCCCCTGGCCCCTGCAGCAGCCGCCCCTCGAGCAGCCGCCCCTGGACCCAGAGCAGCCGCCCCTGGCCCCTGAAGCAGCCGCCCCTGGTGCAGCCGCCCCTGGACCCTCGAGCAGCCGCCCCTGGACCCAGAGCAGCCGCCCCTGGCCCCTGCAGCAGCCGCCCCTCGAGCAGCCGCCCCTGGACCCCGAGCAGCCGCCCCTGGCCCCTGAAGCAGCCGCCCCTGGTGCAGCCGCCCCTGGACCCTCGAGCAGCCGCCCCTGGACCCAGAGCAGCCGCCCCTGGCCCCTGAAGCAGCCGCCCCTGGTGCAGCCGCCCCTGGACCCAGAGCAGCCGCCCCTGGTGCAGCCGCCCCTGGATCCCGCGACGCCGCCCCTGGACCCGCGACGCCGCCCCTGGACCCCGTGCAGCCGCCCGCCGAGCGCCGGCCCTGCTCGCCCGGCGAGCGCCTGCTCTACCCGACACTGGTGAGCACCTGCCTTGTTAGCGCGCTGCCGCGCCATCTGCCTGCCTGCCTGCCTGCCAGCCTGCCAGCCTGCCTGCCTGCCTGTCTGCCTGTCTGCCTGCCTGCCTGCCAGCCTGCCTGCCTGCCTGCCTGCCTGCCTGTCTACCTGTCTGCCTACCTACCTGCCTGCCTGCCTGTCTGCCTGCTGCGCCTGCTCTGCTAGGCTACTGCTACTGGTACTGGCGGTGGCCAGATGCAGCTCCAGCGACGTCCGCGCGAGTCTCTCACGCCCCAGCAGCTTCGTGAGTGGTACGCTAGTTGGGGTTGTGGCGGTAGTCGTCGTAGCTGTCGCCCTAGAGCTGGTCAGTTGGGAACGTCTGGCGGTGGCCGGCTGCAGCTGCAGCCGCGT